TGTATTGTATTGCATTGGGGCAGGGTGCGGAGGAGAAGCAGAAAGCATCAGTCAGAAGGCCAGGATACAAAATGGACAATGGCATGCCATTCATACAGACATCTTTCTAATTCTAGATTATTTTCTTCTTGTCTTTTGGGCGATTTTGTGGAATTTGCTTTTTATCCTAAGCGTGGTAAGTCTACCTTAGGCCTTCTATCTCAATTTTTATCCCAGAGGCAGGAAAAGTTGCTACTGATTTAATTTAGCAAGAGGGCATTTCGGTGGTGATAAAAAAGGACTTTTGATTGCTCCTATCAGAAATAAAATATATGACCTCTATTTCATCACTTATATTCTAAATTTTATGACATTGCATTTTTTTTTCCAGGAACTGAAGCAAGATCCTTAGTATACGTAAGTTTTTTAAGTTTGCCTGTAAACATTACCTTAACGGCCAAAGTTAATCAGCAAATCCACCATTTTAATACTTTCAAACATTTCTCAATCATTTTTATTTGGAATTTCCTTTGAAGTGATATAAACTTCCTTTAATAAGGATAGCTGAATACTTTACTGATCATCATTTTGGAAAAAGATCCTTGAAATACATAGTGGATATATTTCCCAAAATATAAATATCCAAGATCCTTCATGTTATAGTATATACATAGAATAAAAACTACAGTAGTATCTGTAAACACCCTAAACAATTTAAGAAGCAAATTTGTTTTTCATGAAATACTGTTCTTAAGAATAGGTAAATTAAAAAGTAGTTCACTATTTTATATCCATAGTTATAAAAGCTAGAAAGGATGCTATATTGTTAAACATTTATTTTATATCAATTTTTATTTTATTCAGTGTATATGCCAACATAATACATATATAAGACCTAAATGTTGTTTTATCATCTTCATTTCTAATGAGAGAAAAGAATTTCAGAAGTTCAGCTCTGATCTTTCATGAGCAGGCTAGTGGTATTTTTATCTTGTTAATGATGTGCTGATTACTGCTTTGTCTACCATTATATCCTAGGATGGGCAGATATCTCTCCATTGCAAATCAGATGGATAACTGAATGGTCTTCATCAATGTTTTCCTGCATTCAAAGTAAATTCATTTGTAATATCTCACATTTCAACATGTTCTTTCTCTGAAATAGTTAGAAATAAGCCTAAATAGGCTTTGAACATTTTAAGACAAGTGTGCTGATGCTTTTGATAACAAAATCAGTACTTACGAAATACCAACAACCATATTGTGCTAAACATCTATTTCTATTATAAGATTTACGCATTTGAGTTGTTAAACATTAAAACTGCAAATTCTTGAAAAACCATAGTTCCAGTTTTATTTTCATAGGAAAAAAATCTAATTAGAAAAAAGTCTCTATTTTTTTTCCCTATGAACTACTTCCTAACGTGTTACTTAGAAGCTCCAGCTGTTTCACCTTTTGGGGGGACACACCAATTCATAAAAGTGATATAAAGGAGAAAAAGATGATTTTTTTTAAAAAATAAAATTTTAATTTCAAATTCTAACATAGAACAACATACTCTAATGGGGAGAAGGATAGATTAAAGGTAGATCAAGTGTCTTGATGAAACAGCTATTTTCAACTGAGAAAAAACAAAGATGCAGCATTACAGTTTGACCACAAGATGGTACTAGTCAGCTACAAACTGCTAATTTACTAGAGTTCAGGATATTATCATCTTCCTCTTCTCAAGGAACCTTATTACAACAGACTGTAAAATGGAATTCATCCCAACTACTGTATATATTAATTATTACCCAAGTTATACAGAGACATAAATACAAGAAACAAAAAGTCTTATCTAACATTTATAAATCAGCACAAATCAAAATAAATCTAAACCTTTACCTAAATTTCTACAGGAAAAAAAAAAAAGAATTTTGGGGCAAACTCCTCTGCTTGTTTTTACAGGTTACCTTAACCTAATTTTTTAGGATAATTCTAGCTATATTTTCAGAGTTGTTCAGGAGATATTGTTTTCTCAACTCAAGAGCAGGAACTTCTTGATCCAAATGAAGGTTCAAAAGATTTAAATCTCATACATTCAATAAAAAGGACGGGATGAGGAAATCTGACTTTTGTGTACAGTAGTACTCTGAAGTCTGGGTACCTATTTCTAGCCATAAATAACCTTGTTAGCTCTGCTAAGAAATGTGATTAGAAACTGAAAATAAATGCAGAACAAAAGCTTAATGTTATTGCTTTTAATGTATGCTTTTTATTTTTAAAATAAAAACTATTTATCTAGTCATGTCACATCCATGAAGTTTCTACAGTTAAGTACTGAGTGTGATATTAAGTTTCTGGAGAGAGGAGATTCATTATTGGGTGTGATACTATGTCTGACAGATATAGTAATTATGTAATTATATATTTTAGTTCAAATCTATCATTTTGACCAAGTCAATAATGAATTATAATATAATAAAAATACAGAATACATAAAAGCAATATGATTTTTTATCTAAAATATACAACAGTATTCACACGATAAAAGCAATTCAAAAGCCTTCAAATAAGCAGAAGCCAAATACAACTCCTAAGAAAGCACATTCCACTGCTTTAGGAATGACACATCATAGTTTCTTAGGTAACAAACAACAGATTTGGACCATCAGTTTTCCAGATTCCCACAATATAGTTTCACTATGGAAACTATGATGGGGAAAAAAATAAAACAGCAATTGAAATTTTGCACAGCCCAAAGTAACAGATCAAGAAAGAATATTAAGCTATTTGTCTCTTCCTCTCTTCCTTATGGCTACAATAGGATTTCTCTTACCAGCACTGTTATTGATTCCTTACAGTCTACTTTTATCAACTTTCCAGTTAACTCCTAGAAAAGTACAAATCACTCCTAGAAAAAGTACTGAGGTTCCATATTGCAGATTAAACTAGTTTCAGTAAAATAAATGTATTTTGATTGTTATATTAAAAAGATAAAGGTTCCCCCGCACATGCGTGTTAATTGTTTCTGGCTCTAGAGGGCAGTGCTTAACTCTGTTTCTAAGCCGAAGAGCCAGCGCTGTCCAAAGACGCCTCCGTGGTCATGTGGCTGGCATGACTAAATGCCAAAAGTGCACGGAGCGCTGTTACCTTCCCACCAAAGTGATCCTATTTTTCTACTTGCATTTTTTACATGCTTTCGAACTGCTAGGTTGGCAGAAGCTGGGCCAAGTAACAGGAACTCATTCCGTTACACGGCACTAGGGATTCGAACCGCTGAACTGCTGACCTTTTGATCGACAGGCTCAGCGTCTTAGCCACTGAACCACCACCTCCCTGTTTGTTTATATTACTACTAACATTTTTAATTTATTATGTATTCTACCTTCTGAAGAAGTCTACAACAATGAACAAAATAATACAATCTTTAATTTAAAAAACATGACAATGACTAAATCCTGTAGAAGACAATAACAATGCAAAAATAAAATCAAATTTATTTAAAAAAGATCTGTCTAAAAGACAATCTCCTCCTCCTATTATCCTACAAATATCAGGCTGCTCCTTAAAAAACTACAGGCTTGGTATCCTGCAACTGATTACTATATTCCAATAATGCAACAGTAAACATTTGTTATGGCCTTCAGACTCTTAACATGCCTACCCAACACTATTCCCACTTTCTATTTCATATCATAACATAAACAAGTAGAGCTTCATTCATAGCCTGAAGTTATGACATAATCTATTGCTATAAATACAGTGTATTCTAAGAAAAAACAATCTAGGTTTTCTAGGTATAGATCCAGACAACCCACTTCCTCCCGAGTGTTTTCGAGATGCAGACCTACTAACTTCTCAATAAACTTTTGCCGCCCCCCCCCCTCATAGGGTGGAAACTGGAGTCTCTCCCAGTCCACATAAATAATCCAGAAGTATATTAGGACAATGGTAATGAAAGCCACTGGGTGATATAAGAGGCCAGGATAGTTGCATCACCATCATTCTAGCTCCATTAGAGATCACTGACAAGCATGAGCAATTTTGCCTCAGTATTATGCTGCAGCTGCAGACTGAAACCTAACTGATAATGCGGATAATTCATTTCCTCCAAAAGAGGAACAAAAGAAGGATGAAGATTGGCAAAAAATTGTCCAGTGCTACTGGGTCCAGGCTTGGCCTCATGAGGAGGGGCAGACTATTACTTCCTTTAAAGTAGATGGAAATACCCTTCCATTTACTATCAGTTGAATCCAGTTGTGTGTTCTTAGGAGGCCTTGATCAGCCAGGAAGGACATTGGTCTAATATACACTGGTACCAGAGCTTATAGTCCAAGGACTCTGATCCGTTTTTTCAAAAGCCACCCAATTAAATTGAGCCCAGATAACCAATTTTGTCATTTCTATAATGAACATGAAAATTTGAATGAAAAATTATCATTTGCGTAATTATGAAATTGACAAAAATTGACATAATGTAATTTGCATCAATGCTCATAATGTTATCCTCATGCAATTGACAGAAAATTGTTATGATGAATGAATAATCAGAACAGACACCCTTCCTTAACAACTGGTCTTTTAAACCAAGATTTCACATGTGTTGCTTGCTTTAAAATTGTCTTCACATACACTAAGCACTTAGAAAACAAATAACATTTTTTTTACATTTTTTATATTTGAAAAGGAGATCACAAGAAAAATCCTAAACTGAGAGTGAAGGTTCATTCTCCAAGCTTGTGGGTTGGTTTTTGCTAGGTAAGACTTTCAGCGGAGTTTAGGGGGGGATGTCAGTATCAGTGTTCTTCTGTCCCAAACTCTGCTGAAGATATTACCTAGCCTGGTAACAAAATGTTCGGAAACCAACCCACAAGCTACAGATATTCACCACTATTGTAAATCCTAAGCTATTTCAAAAGTACACTCATTTTTTAAGTGTACTGTCATCTATAGTTTTTAATCTTACAAGTGCAATGTTTTTAAAATACGTTTTAATACATATGAAAAACTAGAACTATAGCAAATCATGTCATACCTTCATCTACAGAGGCTTCACTACTATACCCATCATACTCTGCAGACAATGGGCTATATTTTTGTCTGGTTTCCCAACGATAATTTTTCTGTTGTCTACTGTTGCCTGCTGGTGGCCATGAACTCTGTGTTCTTGACAAGGCTTCATGGTATTTACCTAGTGCCTCATCTTCACTCTCCGATGATGAACCATGCTGGTCTTTATTTATGTATAAGTTATCTATTTTGGGGAAAAGAAAAAAAATTAACAGATGGTACCACTTTAAAGTTATATTTAGCTAAACACTGAGAAGCTTAAATATCAAAATAACCAGGTAATCAACATAAATGTATTCATTTATTATTTCTATTAATGCTTCAGAAAGCACAAAATGTCTAGTGAAGAAATAATCAGGTTCTCAAGGAATATCAGAGCTATTTTTCTAAATCTCTGAGTTTTGTTGTAGCTTTTTGAAATAATTTAATTCCTCCATTTGTGTTTTATTTTGTCCCATCTAAGTATTTCACTGAATTTCTCATTTTTCTTTCTAGAAATCTGGTTATCAGATTTATAAATAACACTGAAATAAGCTGTTTACACTATTCTGTTTGTTGGATACATATCCTTATTAAGAAAACATGTTTTTCTTTTTGAGCAGAAACCCTCAGTAGGATGAGATCCTATTAATATTTGAAAAGGAGATCACAAGAAAATTCCAAGGTTTCAAGTTAGATTGAGAAGTCAAAAAATACAGTGGCAGAAAACATAGGAAACTAGTTCTATATTGTTGCTATGCAGACTAACAAATGATTCCAGGAAGTCATCAGGAGTTGTGTGTCTAAAACAAGTATTTTTCTTAACAAACAGGAAAAGAACTGCATTATGACTCTGTAATTTCTATGTTGCCGGTTTTCATTTACTATTATTTCTAAAGATTCATACAGGTAGCTCTTGAGTTATGACCAGTGGTGAGATTCAAATAATTTAACAACCGGTTCTCTGCCCTAATGATTGGGTGAGCGTGGCTGGGTGGTCATGTGATTGGGTGGGCGTGGCAACTTGATTGGTCATACCCTTAGGAAATTTTTCCTTAATCCAACTCACAATAAAATAGCACTGTTCCAATATTTAGAATAGAATAGAATTGAATTGAATTGAATAACAGAGTTGGAAAGGACCTTGGAGGTCTTCTAGTCCAACCCCCTGTTTAGGCAGGAAACCCTACACCACTTCAGACAAATGGTTATCCAATCTCTTCTTTAAAACTTCCAGTGTTAGAGCATTTACAACTTCTGGAGGCAAGTTGTTCCACTGATTAGTTGTTCTGTCAGGAAATTTGAGGGGCTCCTACAAAAATGAGTGACTCAATCTATTTTCCAAAGCACCAAATGGCACAAGAAACAATGGATGGAAACTAACCAAAGATAGAAGCAACCTAGGACTAAGGAGAAATTTCCTAAAGATGAGACCAATCAACCAATGGAATAGCTTATCTTCAAAAGTTGTGGGTGCTCCATCACTAGAGGCTTTCAAAAAGAGGGAAGTACACCCCAAAATGACAGTGCCAGGAACCACTTAAACAATGCAAAAAACTTAAAACAGCCATTCCCCCTTTTTTTAAAAAGTCAACCCCAAAGCAAATGCAGCAGCTGAGAGGGAAACTAAGAGCAGCCGCCATTAACTTTTCCAACTCTATTATTCTATGTGCTCTATGTTCTAAATTAGGTGCTTCACTGCAGAAGCAATACAGCTGTCTGACCACACATGCATTAAATTCAAGGCCTGTATGATGAAGCTGCATCATTGTCCCCTCCTATATCTTTTGCCCCGGGAAGAAACAAGAAGTAGCCAACACTGTAGCAGATATAAAAGGTCTTGGGGAACTCCAGGGAGTATCAGCTGATCACAGAAGTGTTACTTAGTACTCTTTATAATGAAAATGTTTGTAATCTTGGTCTTCTTCCTGAAGGGAAGAGGTTAATCCCATCCCTAGATAGGTGATTGATGGGTTTCCCTGCCCTAATCCTACCAGTTTCTGTTGTTTATTGACCTGATTCAACCTGTATTGGCTGCATTCCAGTTGCAACTGTTAAGTGGTTCTTGGCTCTCTGCCCCAGCTATTAATGGAGGGAGAGAAAGAGAAAAAAACCTCTCTTGCACTTTATTTTTAGCCGAGAACTGCATAAGCAGTTAACGAACGTTTGGGCAAACCAGTGAGAACCTGCTGAATCTGTGGTTATGACCATTCATTCAGTGATTGTTCAAACTTAACAGTGGTTTAATTAAAGATACTTATACCCATCCCCAAAGTTATGCTATTGTAGCACCACTGTGGACATGTGATAGTCCGCTCACACTTATGACTGCACAGGTGCTTCAACTCCCTGCACCCACCTATTTCACTCCATTTCTGGCCTTTTGACAACCTGTACTCTACCACCCCTGCCTCCCTGCATTCCACTGCCCCAGCTAACCAAGCATATTAAGTCAGGCTTTTTATGAGGCAGCAGCTGGCCATGTGAGGCCTTCTTCCCATGCTCATATGTTGCAGTTTCTTCATGAAGAAGAAACAGGGAAGAAGGCCTCCTATGACCAACAGCTCATGAAGGGCCAGACCAGCATGCCTTGTGAACTAGGGAAAGTATTATTTGCATTCAATACAACACGTACAAAGATCAAGGAAGAACAGAGGAAAAGTGGGAAGCATTTAAAATTATAAGAAACTAGCAATTTTCAGTACAGAAAAATGTTTTGAAACCCCAGAGATATGTCAATAAATTATGCAAATCAATTTAGATAACCATTTTTTCACTGACTCTCTGATCCTCTGTTGTTGTCTGAAAACCTCTGAAAACCTCTCATCATCAGTTTTGAAACTTGGGATGTATATTATTTTGGATTTGAACACAAAATGATATTTTTGGAGTACCTGGCAATATGAACAGAGTACCTGACTACCATTCCTTAAACAAAAGACATCTTCTTTTGGAGGCTGTACAGCATCTTTTTCTACAAAAAACATTGCTTATTTTGAGGAGTGGCAGGAGACAGAAATTAAATTTGTGCTACTGCAATACTCTGAAGCACCTTTATGCCTTCAAATCCAAATATTACATATTCTTATTAGAGAGCCCTTCTGAGCCATAGGGACAAAATTTGGAAATGGTGAAAGAGAAAGAGCCATTTTATGAATTGTACTTTCATAAAAACAGAGCTACAGCTCTAGAAAAATATACATATCATAAAAAGATTTGTTTTATAGATAAATGAATTCCATAAAACAGCTAAGAAGAATGTAGTAAAAGATCCAGGAAAGGTTGAATGTATAAAGTATGGCTATGATATGACACCTCACCTTTTTCTGGTGTCTTCTTACTACTCACTTCTTTTAAAAAACTTTCTGAGTACTTAGTCTTTTCCTTTTCACTTTTCTTTGAAAGATCAGATGTTACATTTTCTTCTTGCTTTGTCACAAGTGTCTTGTATTTCTTTCTTTTTACTTCATGAAAACGGTTTAGTTTTTCAGATCTTGAGTCTGGCAGTTCTACTGTTTGTTCCTCAGTTTCTTCCAAACTCTTGAATGAAATACTGTGTACTTCTTTAGTGTTTTTCAAGTCAAGTTCTGTTGGTTTTTGTTTTATTTTTTCACACAAACTTTCATTAGATTGGTTTGATACAGTATATGACTGTCTATCTGGTTCTTGATTAAGAAATTCTTCTGGCTTATAAGTACTGGAATTCTCTCTATTATCTTTTGATATGTGTTTTTCTAAGTAATTAATTTTGCACTGAGCATGTTTTACATGTGTCTCACCAATTTTTGTCTCATTAAAAAAATTATTTGGTTCAGGAACATTTTGCTGAGAATCTACTTTGCTTTTATTAGGACAAAATTCCCTACCATCATTTGTACATTTTTTTGAAGAAGCACTTTGTCTGTGTTTTTCTTCTGGTACACATTCTTCTCTCACAAAATTTTCTTTAATATTATTTAATGATGTTACTTTATCTTTGTCTAATAGAGGTTTATCTTCTTGCACTGTAATTGTCGTTTCTGTCCGAAAACTGCTGAACACATTTGTTACCTGCTCTGTAACAGAGTCGGCTACTGTGTAGCTGACATCACCAACTGCACTAGTAAAATCATCTACAGCATTACTTAACGTGTCAACCAGTGAAGACACAGAAGGAAGACTCAGATTTTGTTGCAAATGTTTGAAAAATGACATATTTCAATTCTATATTAATAAATTAATTTTACAAGAAAATTACAATATTGTGAATGTGTCACTCCTGCAATTAGTCTTCTGATTTTATTTTCTTAAAAATAATAAACAAGAATAAATATTTTCTTTATCAAGCCAGAATCAATCCTTTTCTAGGATTCCTACAATATTATAGTAAAAATGAACTACTTATTACCAAATATTTAAAATATTGAACAGCAGGTGCTGGATTTTATTCTACACCTGCAAAGGAAAAGTTTAAATATTTAAATAATATACCAAAATGAATATGCTTTGGATTAGTACAAAAACAATAATCAATAACAAACATCCCCTGCCTTTTTCTAGCATAAAGAACTTATAAAACGTGCCCTAACATAACTTCATTCCAGATTACAAACATTCTAGAGGCATGGATGTGATCTAAAGAAATATAAACAACAAAGCCTAATTTAAATTAATGGGTTTATCAAATTTCTGGTTGCACTAAATGTAAATAGAAAGCAAAACCCATCCACCCTACTCATCAATTACATGTTTTGATATACTGCAGCAAGATCCAGGTCAAGGCTATGATGGTGCACTTAGTAGTCAGAAAGGCTAGTGTATCAGAAAGGAAATAACTCAATAACTAATCTTAGCTTCACATGGATAGTCTCTTCCACTTCTAGCTAATTATATTGAGGAATCTCATATATCTTTGAAAATACATTTGTTTTGATATAATTAGAATGATGATCTAGTTTATTAATTGTATTTAGGAGAGTGTTTTTTCTAAATGTTTTTAAAGCTTCAACTAAATAAAATGAAATAATTTCCCTAAGAAGATAATTATGGCCCAGCACTACAGATACGTTAATAAAAAATATTTAGGAATTTACCAGATATGTTTTTATTTCAAAAAAACTTTCCCTCCATGATATATTACTGCCCTAAAAGTTTCCTATGTCTTTCAAAATCATATGTTGCAGAATTTTATACTTACGCGGTTTGTCCTGTGAATTTTTTCTGGTACTGTAATGGGAATTGAGGTCTGGGAGGCCTCCAATATTTTCAAAACACATCTTCTTGTTAATATACAGAAGAAGAATCAACAGCAAGATGATAAGTACCCCAACTGCTGATAGAAATCCAACTGCCTCAGGAGATACTAGAAGAAACAAACCATAATCAGAGTGCAAGACTAACACAATTTATAATAATCAGATTATCACATCTCACCCTGAATTATATGCAAATATATAATGGAAGTAGTCCTCAACTTATGATCATACTTGAACCCACAATTTTGGCCCTTTAACATGATGGTCATGAAAAGGATTACCATGTGGCCATGCTTAATTTTACAATATTTTGCAGGAGTCATTAAATAAACACCATGATTGTTAAGTGAATCTATTGATCATTATGGGGCAGTTTTGCCATAAATCAAAAATAAATGCCAGTTTCCAGCAAAATTGTCATGCAGGTAGTCCTCAATTACACTCAATGACTGTTTAAATTATAGTGGCGCTGAATGAAAAGACTTACAATCATTGCTTGAAATTAGAGCTATTGCAGTGCCCCTACAGCCACATGACTGCAATCTGGGCTGTTGGCTTGTAGTTGTACACTTACATAGGTTGCTAAGCCCTCTGTGAAAATGTGATTGGCATTTGCAATCTTCCCTTCTGGCTTCTTCAGAAAGTCATCTGGGAAACCAGAAGGGAAAGTTTTAATTTCCTTTGTTTTTATAGCACAGTGCATCAACTCCCCTCCACACTGTAGGCTAGAAAATCCAAGGAAGATAGAGCAATTGCCATGCTGCTCCAGAAAAATGAAACTCTCCTAGTATCGTTTGTCCAGTGCATCACACCAGCTCCCTACCCTGGACTAGAAAGAAAGAAAGGAGAGGAAAGCCAGTACACTGGGCTAGAGAAAGGAAGCTCGAATCATTGCGACCCCAAGCTTCCTTTCTCCATCCAGCATACCAATTTTGTGCCTGGAAGGGAGCTCCCTATTCTCATTCAGAAGGCAGCTCTTTTGCTCCATTCTTTCAACAACCATGTCTGGGAGGGCTGGGACAGCAGTATTTGAGCAAAGTGATCACATGGACGTCAGAACTAACAAGACAATATGTGAAACTGTATGTGGAACTGTTCAGGAAGAAGGGAAATGTATGCTAACTTATGAGCAAAGACAAGCCAGGCTAAAAGGCAGGAAAAAGCAACATTTAGTTCATATGCAAATAGTCCTTGCTTACCAATGACAATTAGTACAATATAATGTGCTATGACCACGCTGAATTACAATGGCAGTTGTAGCATTCCTGTGGTCATCATTAGTCCTGCATGGTCATTAGGAATAATGTCACATGATTGCTTTGTGGAACCTCCTGCCATCTTCCCATTGTCTTTGCTTGTCAGAAGCTAATAGCCAAGGTTGCAATCACATAACCACAAGCCAGTTGCCAAGCACTCAAAACATGATTTTGTGACTGCAGGTATGTAGCAACAGCTGCAACTACAAGGACCAGCCATAAGTCTCCTTAATGTCATAGTTTGTTAAAATGACTAACTATATAATGTCTCCCAGTCTGAGAGAAAAGTCTTCTGAAGCCACAAGATTCCTAGACTGTGGAAATAATTTTTTTTAAAAAATCAACATTTTTTAAAAATTAATTTTTATGTTTTAAGTGATCATAAATCCAAGATTTACTCAATGTCCTGCTATTGCCATTTATAAATACAGATGGTAGCAGTAGTTCAGAATTATTTGACGCACTTAAAACTGGAGTGTTAACTTTTTGTAGACATTTGAAAAACAAAACTGGATTTTGATTTTTACACTTAGCTACAATTAAATATAACTAATTACTCTCCAAACACAAAAAAATCCTCCTCTATCATATTCAAAGTTATAATTTGATAAAAACATTTGAGATCTCTGAGAACCATATTCAATGCTTTTGTAGGTGCATGTAGTACTGGGTGCTTAAATTATGGATCTCTGCCCTACAGACCTAGGAATGCATTTTTCCATATGACATTTTCTTTCATATTTATGTGGGAACTTAGCAAATGACAGGACTTTCAGTAATTATTTGTAATATTATTCTGTTTTTCCCAACAATAGTTAAAGTGATCTGAATACATTACATACTTTGTAACATATTTTTAAAAAATGAAAAAATGAATTATTAAGTTTGATTTAACAAGTGAATTATCTTAAAAACCATTAAGAGCACAAATATGATTTCACTCCTTTCACTTTTGCTACCGTAGAAGCTTGGCTCCAGAACTCAATTATTTTTCCACTACTAACAGTTGTAACACATATTTGAATGAGGTTAGGAAGGAAGTTTAAATCTAATCTTTTTCTCATGAGAAACTGACATTTTGCAATAATCCTACTTCGAAAGTGGCAGGAAAACTTCAAAACATCTGTATTACTTTCTGGATTAGCTATCAATTAGACTATCTTTCAAAATAGATACTATTGCAGATTGTGCTCCTATCAATAAACACAGGAGTCCTGTTCATCACAATCAGCAATTAAAGCAACACTGATATTAGTATACAAATCATATTTAATGCAATCAGAATATTAATTACAAAGCAGTAATCAAGTATATTTACCTGTCCTTTGAATAAACCCCTTATCTAATGCTATTTACTGGGTTTAAGGGAATACAGGAAAGAGGATACAATTTTAGCATCATCTAGACCCAGTTTATTGACAAATATATGTCTTTGGAAGTTATCTATCTCATATCAATTTGCACACTTGGATCATCTTTAAGGAGTATAAACAAACTTTATATAGAAGACATGACTTTATATTAATACATTTAATAAATCTATAATTCAATTGAAAAATGTCATCAAGCAGCATTTCTATTTCCAAATAAAGAATGAGGTACAGTACAGTATGCTATATACCACCTCAATACAGTGTTAAGTATTTAACTTGATATAAATGAAACCAAAACAGTATTAATTCATTACAGAAAGAAATACTAACTCCTCAGCTTAAATGCCAGGAATTGATACCAATTATATATCTACAGTGACATCCTAAATAATTATTCAAAATTGCATTCTGAAACATATTAAAATTTTAAATGAATAATACATTTTCAATCCTTTAAAAAATTTTATTAAGCCTAAATAGTTTGGTCTAATATTGTTAATACATATAGAAACACAAAGTATGATCAAGAATTTACTAAATTTTTCTATTTTTCTTTTGCAAATTTAAAAAAATAGAAAACATGGTCCTTTACCACAAAATCAGTATTTTTTCACACTTAAAATTTCAACTATATTTGAATATAGATCTATAAATATTATTTAGTATGATAAAATAGATAGAATTGTATCTGTAATGTTTTCTCAACTTACATAAAGTGTTGACTCTCAATTTCCAATGGCATATGGCCTTGTATATTTATCTCACTGCATGTCATTGATAGCTTAATTATTAATGATGTCAGTGAAATGCTATCTACCTTGTGTACAAATGAAACTAATATGGGCTTTATCTGAAACCCATCATAGCCAATTAATATACTTATGCTTTAAAAGTCAATTCAACTTGGAATACTTGATGGCAGAAATACTGGCCGGTTTATTGAAGATGGATAAAGATGAAATTCAAAAAGAGTTTGATGAAGTCTACAGGGTCAATACAAATTATGCAAGACGCCACAATTGTTCTAGGGAAGTACATATACGATTCACTAGAAGATGTGTTCGAGACATGATATACAGAACCTCAAGAGATAAAACTATAACCTACAAAGAGAAAGAAATTGTGATTCTTAAACAGATACCGAGGAGAATAAGGGAACAAAGGCGTGACTATAAATTCCTGGCAGCATATTTAAATAAAGAAAGAATCACATTTAAATGGCTTATTCCAGAAGGAATGTTAGTGTCGTGGAAAGAGAGGAAAATCAAAATAGATACTATGGAAAAAGCCCAGGATTTTTACGAACGGATGGTGGGCCCACAGGAGCAAAATAGTAGGGAGAAATTGGACA